ACTCCTTAACCGCCGTTCTTTCAATGTGAAACTCGTCCAACCCCCCTTTCCAGCTCTTTTTTTGACCCTATGTAATTCATTTTGTTCATCGTTTTTTTGCGCTCTTTTCGTTGTTATCGCTTTATTCTAGAGTAGTTCTATCAATTCCCGTCAAAAAAGGGTACCCTAGCTTTTTTGTGAACGGTGCCTTTGAGCGCCTCTACTATTTTGAATTAAAGTGGACTTTGTAGGCGCACCTTTGAATTGCCACAAGTTTTTAACTTAAAATGCTACCTCCAACCACGCCTACAAAGCATTTTCCGCCTGCATCCCCACGTTGGACCTGAGGTTCCCCGAATCGCAGTATGTCTTGAAAAATTTCTTGCTAATTGACTTATCAGTACCAAACTGAAAGAAGAATGTAACATACAGACCCAGTCAAAAAGCAGTTTTAGAGCGTGGTAGACCTCCAGTACGTCGAGAATCCTTGCTCACCTGGGACGCAGTTAAGCGGCGATTCCCATGGTCTGTTATCTTACTTCTTGGCGCTGGATTTGCTATATCAAAAAGTGTTAAGGTATCAATAAATTAATTTCTTTTTGAATCAGGTTTTTCATATATTTTCCATAGCTAATATTATATTTTTTCTGCCAGCACCGGTATACATGATGTCTCGAAATTTGCAAAGATCATCACAAAAACTAACTACTTATCGTTGTCTTTGTTTTTTTTTGAGAGCTCAATCATATGCATACATCTCTATACGTGTAAAGAGATATACATATTTATTTATTTATTTACTTACTTATTTATTTATTTATTTTGCTAATGCTTGCACATATGCATCCTTTTAGGAAAGCGGTCTCTCATCTCTTATTGCTTGCAATATGGAACGCCTGCTTTCAGGTTTCCCCTTAACTGTAATGCAGGTAAGAACTGCTACAAACAAATCTGCTGAACACCAAGACAATCATTGATCGATAAGAATTGATTCTCGAATCCTCAAGACTTGAGTCATTGTGGAATTTTGTTATGTTCAAACAGATAAGTACCAACCTTGCCAACGAATCTGTTCCTTCTTGTCGAAAATTCAGTTGAGTTCCTCCCTCCTCTCGTTTACCCGCTTGTGGGCTATCAGCCGTAGTTTTCTATTCTGCCAATACACTAATTCCGAATACCGTCGGTCCGCCGTGTAAATTTCTTGCCAAGCTTGAAGCTTTCTTAGCAGTCAGTGCGAGGTCTCCACGTCGCTGCAATAGTGTATTAACCAAACAGGGAAATAATAAACGTGTGAAAGTAAACGAGGAAAAAGGACTAAACCGTCCACAAAAGACATATTCCACAGGTTGGGTGAATAAATTGTTTATTACGGTTCAAGCTGGGATTACATCAATACTATTGCACAGAGTTTGATAGCTATGAGCACCTCTACACTCGTTCACTTGTACTAAAAGATAATGTTAAATAGTTGGAGAACGAAGCAATATGCCTACAGTAACAAAAATTACTCTTACATGAAGGTCATGCGCGATATATGAGTATATGCCGCATATCACAAGAGCTTGGCCTCCATAGTCTGTTGTCATGGGCCCTGCCACATTATGGACGTCTCCATAGTGTTGGCGTTGTCGCCTGTAGGCATGGAGTGACTATCAGCACTGGCCTGAAGTAATACCTCAGCACTCTCATGAATACAGAACTTTTCAGGTGGTCATAAGTGTTATAACTGTTACTCTGACAGAATTCTCCACAAATTCGGCTACCGCCAGTATCATCATCCCTATAGCATTCAATATTGTGAGTTTCTGTATCACCCTTCACTAATGCTTGTAAAAACTTATCCTCTTTTTCCTTTGTGTAGAAGTATTATACAGGTCAAGGAAAGCAGGAAAATCTGTTTCAGGCGGAATCAGTACGAGCGCATCCACTTTACTTTTCCATACCGGCTGCAATAGGTCCATCATTTTCTTTTATGCTGCCGATGGCTACGCCTCCGAACGCTATCGTCTACGAAAGCGGGACCATGCGTATGATTGACATGGTTAGTCATCACTTATTTCACTACAGTATTTCAAAAAAGACTAGTCTATTTGGAAGGCGCCAGAAATTCAGTCAACACCTTACCGCTTTCTTCGAAATAATTGCTCTGTTACTGAGTTGTTTTCTTTAACTCTTCACGAGGTTTGTATACTAGCTTTATTAGGCTGACATTTCGACGGTGTCGCCTTCTTCAGAGCCTGGAAAGATTATAACAATTTGTGACTATCCGATCAAATGTTTCCACTGCCACACTGAGGTTCGAGACCCCCACGGCACGCAGGTGATCAAAGGAGAACCACTCACCGTAGCTTTAGAGATTCTTCGAAGTCAACCGGTAACCGATGGTAACAACCGAGCAGTGTCAGCTGGGGTAGGTCTTCTTTGAAAGTCCTTGCGGGAGGCCAAATTTATATAAGGCCACAGCTCCCGCGTGATTGCGAGGCATTCTCCCTACGATTCATTT